TCTTACAATCGCTCAGTTGTTGACTAACTTTATTTGATGATTTATTTGTTTGTTCATTTATTGTTCTCTCCAGAAGAAAGAGGTCCTCGACACAAACCAGCCAGTCTGGAGACGGACCAGACAACAGCGCTCAGGTGAGGAAGAAGAGCTCAGGTGTCTCAAAGACTTCACTTTAAAGCACGTTTGAATAGTCATCATGTCTTCTTCAAGTCTTCATGTCCCTATGTGGATACTTTCATCCTGTTCATTTCCAAAATGATGAACACATACAGATGTGCATGTCACACCCTGGTTTTCCTTTAACACATGCTGCCCGTTTTGACACAGGGTGATGTTTTAGAAGTCTAGACTTTGGTTTGAGCATATTTGTAATAAATGACACTGTGTGTACATTGCCCTTCTTAGTTTAAACACTAGATGTCGCTGCCATTTTGAACAGCTGCTCTACATTTATTACTATGAAAACATTTACTTCAGTTTGTCAGGTAAACATGGCAGAACCGAAAAGATGGAAGACGGCAAGCGAGTGGCAAAAATGATGTAAAGTCAGTAGTCTTTCACTGAAGTCAAGAGGAAGTGTGTTTCTATAAAACTAAACATCAGTCCCACATTTCGTACATTTGAAAAAGTTGTTTTCTGGTCTAGAATCAGTGATTTTCTTGCAGTGTGACTGGTTGAAAACGACACATTTACTGTTGTTTGGCTTGTGACTCCTTCTGGTTTTCTGTATACGACCCACAATCAAAGAAGTTTGTCCACCCCGGCTTTATCCAGCCTTTCTCTGTCTTAAACTACAAGGTGCTGAGACAGAGACACTGTTATCAACACTGTAGGTGATGTGGCTTTGGCCCTTTCATTGTTGGGGGATTTACACGTGTCCATCCACAGATACATGTTGACAGTTTGTACATGAAGGGAAACTTCATGAACCTCTGCTGGTGACCAGGAGGTATTACAACGACTAAAAGAGAACTCAAGACCTGTGCTTCACTTTTTGACTTTTAAACTGAGGTTTGATGCCACAACATGAGAACTTTGAATAAATGTTGAGGAAATAATTGCAGAACAAGCCCCCCCCCCCCACACCTTTAACCCTGCAGATGTTTTACTATTTGGTCATTTGTATTACAGGCCAACAACAAATGTACTTATCCAATAGGTGCTTAATACTCTTGTTTATTGGTGCAGAGCTCACCAGCGGAGCAGCAGGAAGAGCTTTGCTATGCCAGCGTGAGCTTCTCTAGAAACCAGGAAGATCTTCTCTACTCCAACATCAGGCCAGCTCGGCCCCACAGACGCAAGGAGGAAGAGGAGGACGTGGAGTACACAAGGGTCAACTTTAAGAGTGCCAGTGCTGCCAACGAGTGAGTCTGTTCAATCTGTCTCTGCTGCACAATGCTTGCAGCGGTCGTTGCTTTTATTGCTGTTTAAACCTGTTCTTAGTTGATATTGTGAGCTTTACTGTTTTTCATTCACAGATCAAGATGTCAAGAAGCTGTGGGTCATTTGTCTGCACTGTACAGCACAGTCAGCAAACAACCAAGAGTATGAACACATCACGGATCTGTGCTCTGTTACTTTACAGTGTTTAAGCAGATTAAACACACATGGATGAATGTTAGGTTTGACTTACTGTATTAACCATCGTTAAGACTTCCAGCAGAGAACTAGTATCAGTGAACCAATGGGTGGTCAGCTTGTAATTTATAAATA